ATCCAGTTCGATGTTATAGAGCTGTGTGGAAGGGGCCCTGGTGTTTTCTTATTCAGAGAATCACTGTAAATTGAAATCAACTTAACAGCTGTTAACATTAGCAGGAAGAACAACCATGAGCAATTACTATTAGCCCATATTTTGTAACAACCAACAAACATATATTACTCTTTTTGCTGCTTTCACTTCTCTTCTTCTTAAATTGCTCCACTCTCTGGCTTTGCTCAATCTTGATTCCACACAGGAAACCAGAAACAAAAGACAAAACAAAAAGATTGCATGGAAGGGGCCTAAATCCCATTGCTTTTCCCGATTAGAGTAAAGCTACACATTTAATTAGATTTGTCTTATGTTAATTTACTATTTCATAATTGATTAATGGACCTAACTGGTAGGCACTAACCAACAAGCTGCTGTGATTTCCCCTTGGGAAGATAAAGCGGGGAATAAATAAATAAATAAATAAACAACAAACAAACAACAGGAAGAGTAGGGTCAAAATTTCCTAAAGTACCAGATCTTTTTTGATAATGGAAGTTAAACCAGAATCCTGCCCACCTCTATAGACTCAGGCAAAAGCAAAGTGTTCCACTTTGCCCTAGCTTGCGTGTTCTTTTTCTTTCATGTCTTTTGTCACCCTTACCATACTCTGAAGTTGCTTAGCCGTATGTATCCCAGGTGAAATAATGCAGGTTCAGTCCTGAATAGTCTGCCCTGAAGCATCACGAGAGTGCCCCAAACCACTTTTACAGTCCGGCGCCTGGGTAAGGCAATAAAGATATCAGCACAGACGTTCTGTCCTCCTAGGGACCATTTCTGCTGTTCCACAAGCCAAAAACAAGCCTTGCTGGTGTCATCTCCCCTGGTGAGGTCCCAACCCTGTGATGAGCACCGTGGTTCCCAACCTTTTTTTTTTGACCAGGGACCACTTTGGCCAGGGACCACTTTGACCAGGGATCACTCTCTAACATTAGTACCAAAATGGTCACAAATCAGTTTTTTGTCAATTTTATATTCGGTTTGATACTTGGGGTGCTGATTCAGAAAGCATTGTGATAGACCACATCAGCTCTAGTTTCTGATACAGAACATATGCCATCCAGTAGTTGCCATCTTCTTGCCCACAGAAAACCATATTTAATAATCTAGAGCTGATGTGGACTATTATATTTAATACTCTAGAGCAGTGGTTCTCAACCTGGGGTCCCCAGATGGTTTTGGCCTTCAACTCCCAGAAATCCTAACACTGGATTTCTGGGAGTTGTAGCCCAAAACATCTGGGGACCCCAGGTGTGGATTTAATAATCTAGAGCCATGGCCCATGGGTTGGGAACCACTGGATTAGAAGAACCGATGTCACCAGCAAGGCTTGGCCAGGGGGCTGCTTCTAACCAATGATATAATGTGTGGACACTATGCTTGTGCATTTGGGGTAAACCTTGACACATTTTGTGTCCTGGCTTCTAGTGGGGCCCTATCCATTTTTGAGAGCCTCCCAAAATTGGGAGGACAGATATCTGGGATGCTGAAATATCAGTTCTCTATCGGCCCATTACGAGGGGGCTTCCCAGGCCACCCTTGCCATTCTTTTAGGCATTAAAGTTATTTTCCACTCCAGGAGAGGCACACAGCTACAGGCAGGTGCACACTTTAAGGAGGCTTCTTACCTGTTTCTACTCTAGAGGAGGCACTCAGCTGCAGGCAGGCGTTCATGTTTTCTGAGCCTGCACGCCACACATGCACTCTTTCCAAGGTAAGGAGGCAAGTTCTGACGTTTTTACTTTAGAGGAGGCGCTCAGCTACAGGTAGGTGCACGCGCTTTTTTGGCCTGTATACCACACATGCACTCTTTCCAGGGCAAGGAGTGCCATGTGCTCACAAAAATCAGGTGAGGAGCTGGGATCGGCTCCTGCTTGCTTTCATGTTGAGCTGATTTTTGTACCGGGAGGGGCCTTTCCGCTACATGCTCCCAAAGGTAACTAAAGTAACAAAAGAATGAAAATCATTCCATGCAAAACTCTAGTAGATAATATTCTGCCCCAAATCCCCCTGATTCTTCGGTCTAGGGCCCTTCCACACAGTTGTATAAAATCCACATAGAAATGGATTATATGGCAGTGTGGACTCAGATAATCCAGTCCAAAACGAATATTGTGGATTATCCAACTTGATATTCTGGGTTATATGGCTGTGTGGAAGGGACCTATATGTGGATAATGCCTGGAATTATGCTGGAGTTTGGTGGAAGTGCCAGATTATAAACGGTAAAGGATTAAAGGCTAGAAAATGCACTTTTGCTGCTGAACTGGCAGTATGCCAACTGGACTGCTCAGAACAAGGTCAAAGTAGGAATGTCTCATTGTGTCTCTGTAGACACAGAGCCAGCTTTCATCTGTAAAATGTTGGCGTGTATGGATGTAATGCAAACACCATGCAACTACGTCAACATAGATTTACTGTACACTTACAGACTAGGACATGGAGCGACAAATGCAAATTAGGAAAAGGGATTGCACTAAAACATTATGAAGACCTTCCTGATGGCAATTGCTGTTTGGCCATGTAATATGTTGCCTAGGAGGATGGCGGAATTTCCTTCTCTGGAGGTTTTTAAACAGAGGCTGGATGGGCATCCATCAGGAGTGCTTTGATGGTGTATTCCTGCATGACAGAGGGTTGGATGGCACTTTTGTTCTCTTCCAGCACTATGATTATATGAACGTAGCATCTTAGCTCTGAAATACTGGTAATGTGATCAGACTCTGCCACCCTTAGCTACCCACGCTCTCATAGGAGGAGCTGATATGATGGCATGTAGTGTTAATACAATTGGAGCTGCCAAGAGCTGCTTGTAGAAACTGGGCAAAGAAGCCAGTGGTGGTCTGGGAGGCACAACCCGCTTGACTGCAGAGGAAATTGTGAAGGAGGAGAAATAAGCAGCAATGTACCCTCTGAAACACCCACTGCTCCTTAGGAGCTCTCTCACAAGTCATTGGTTTGCAAGAGGTTGCCATTATCACCCAGCAGTCAACCGGGACAGAGTTCTATTAAGTGAGCATTTTCTGTGTGTGTGGGCGGTCACATGGAGGGCTATGGATCGTTCATTATTATTGCACTGTGACAAGCTTGCTAAGAATCGAATTAATTTCAGCAACCACCCCTCCGTGACCTTCATTGCACATTTGCAAGAGTTTGGGGATAGAGGGAAGTGTCCAGAGCAATATTATTCCCCCTCTACCTCTCAATTGCTTTGAATAAATCCTTTCCACCGTCTTTGCTTTGGAGTGGGTTTTGGTCGGGTATTTGCACAGGCAGTCTTTAGGAGCCATTTGGAGGGGAAAGATGTGTTTTTGTTCAAGAAGTAGTGGGAGAAAGTTGATAGAAGAGTGGAGAAGCTGAGTGAAAAAGTAACTTTGCGGACCAAAAGGAGGAGAAGGATATCGAGATGGGAGTGGGTAGGTGACTTGCAAAACAATGGAGATGAAACTGCTAGGCATACTTGGGATAGAAAACTAGGGGAAGGAACAGATAAAACATAAATTAGTGGCATATGTATAACTGAAATCAGGCAGAAAACACATCAAAGAAGATCAAAAAGTAGGGCAAGGTTGGCATAAAAGCTGAACATGCTAACACTACATTTGGAAAGAAAATGCCAGCATATGTACTTCTGTTAAGAAAGTCTGTGCGGCCATGGGCTGGGCCTGTAATAATTGATTTTTTAAACAGGACGTGCTCTTTGTGCCCAGCGGGGAGCCGGGGTGCCACGGGTGAGAGGCCTTCAAGGATTTTCCCATACACAGTCTTTAAAAGGCTTGAAATGTTTAACAAAGTTCTTTATTATTGCTTAGGTCTTCAATAAAACAACAAACACTTCTTGGATCTTCAACAGATTAAACAAATGCTTAACTTGCCCCAAAATGGACAGGTACCTTGCTTGGAGAACTATTTCTTTCTTTAACAAGGAAAACCCTTTTTTAACCTATGATTCGCCTAAGGGCTGAGAACAGCGGTATACAAATAAAGTAAATAAATAAATAAATAAATAAATAATAATAATAACCCCTCCCAGGCAATCTACTGTCTAAGCTTTGCTGATGTGGGTTCTACTACCGGTTCCAATCTGTGTCTTGGGTCCCGAGTAGACCTACCAGTCAAGGCTATGTAGATTCTCCAGCTGGAGTTCTTTGGGTCTGTAAAACTGTTTTCTTCTGAAACTTTAGGACTGTTTCCCTCAGATGCTGTAAAGCTGAGAGGCTGTAAGCTCCCAGCCAGAGCTTTGGGACTGTTTCCCCCCGGAATTTCTGCCCCGGATGCTGTAGGAAATGAAGCTTTTCTATGGATGGAGCTAATCCATGTCCTGTAGCTTAGCTTTCCACTATAAGACTGAACTAAAAATGGCTCCCTCTCTTCCCATGGCCCTGGGGAAAGGGGCGGAACCAAAACTTAACAATGATAGACAGGTGGCTAGCCCTATGATTGCAAAGCAAGGGAAGCCACCTTGTTGCAAATGCATGGAACCTTGGAATATATGCAAACACTCAATAGAAAGAAAATGAAGCTGAAGCTCCTGGTACAGACATACCAACACAAAGTTTGTGATAGCAAAGTTCTTTTTACAATGTTTATTTATAGAAGATGATATCTACATTGTTCACCTGGAAGACTGTGTCCAGTTCTGGGCAACACAATACAAGAAATATATTGAAAAGCTGGAATGTGTCCAGAGAAGGGCAACCAAAACAGCTAAAGGTTTGGAAGTCAAGCCCTATGAAGACATCATCTGTCTGACTTACTAGGCGAAGATGTTGCAGGGTGGGTTCTCCTTCCCAGAAGCCTCCTCAGCAGTGAGAAAAGTTCCCACCGGACGGGCAGCTGTCCAAACAGTGGAGACCTCTGCTGCCCCCTGATTGGCTGGAGGAGGCCATTCTCTGCCCCCAGGAAGCCCCCTTAAAGCTGCTCAAGGCTGGGACTTTCTGGTGTCCGCCTTGAGGTCTGTCAGGATCAATGGAAGTGGTTGGTTGCAGAGGAGCAAGGCTGGTGGCATGGGGAGTGGGGGCTCCCCCCTTTTTTGGTGGCATGTGGCATGGGCCCTGAATCTGACTTGCTTATCCTCTCCCCATTGGAGGGGGAGTGTCTGGTGGTTTCCAGGAGTACAACAGTAACGGTGTCCCGGTATTGTGCGGGTTGGTAACAGCAGTACCCCTGGTGTGGTCAAGCAGTATTGGTCAGCAACGATCTGCCTGATCTCAGATCCAGGACCCATGCAGGGCAGCCAACCCTGAGTCTCTTCTGTAAGCAATAAACAAGTTGTGGCCTTTTGTCATCACAACACCTTGTGTGTGTTGTAATTGGGTTTGCAGGCAGGAAGCAGTAGTCACACATGCCCATGCAACAGCTAAGGGAGCTGGTTATGTTTATCTTGGAGAAGAGAAGGTATGGTATGACAGCCATGTTTAAATATTGAAAGGATGTAAAAAAAGACTAGGGAGTAAGCTTGTTTTCTGCTGCTTTGGAAATAAGGACATGGAGTAATGGATTCAAGATATGGGAAGAGAGATTCCTCCTAAAGTTTAGGAAGAATATCCTGGTGGTTATTGGCGTTTAGCAGTGGAATATGCTGCCTTTTGGGAATTTGCTTTTATTGGGGGCAAAGGAAGCCTAACTTTACTACTTTTGTTTAAAAATAACATCAAGCCTGTGAGTGCTATGACTTTACTTAGAAAATATTGGGCCATAAATAGACAAAGGGATTATCCTGTAAATCCCTTGAATGTTTTATTCTAATGGACCAATGTGGCTGCAAACATTAGACCAATTAACTTTAAAGCTCCACTATTCTGGCTTTTTTCCTCATCAAAAAGTACAAATTAGCTCCAAGAAGTCAGTTTCATTTTAATCTACAGGCCCACTGGACAAGATGGCTAAGAGGTTGTCTACATGGATGAAAAAAATCATACTAACTTTGAATGTGATTCTGGCAGAACAAACATTGTTATACTGCTCCCTAAGCTGCTGGGAATGTTAGTCAAAATATCATCCTGTTTAGTTGATATTTTGTAACACGTGCATTAATCAAGCGAGCATATTCAAATATTTTATTTATTTATTTATCATATTTGTATACCGCCCCTCTCAGCCCAGAGGCGACTCAGAGAGGTTCACAATTGGCAACAATTTGATGCCTCAACAATTATAACAAGTAAAACAATAATAAAATACTGTTAAAACATCAGCATACAATATAAGAATATAAAAACCCTACAAAGCCTTAAAAACATTATCGTGAGCGTCTCCATGTCAAGTCATTATTCAATTGTGTTGTTAAGTGGTTCCATGATTTCATATAGACCTGCTTAAAAAGCCAGGTTTTCACCTTTCTTCGAAAAGTCAGGAGGGAGGGGGCTGATCTTATATCTCTAGTCAGGGTGTTCCACAGTCGAGGGGCCACCACTGAGAAGGCCCTATCTCTCGTCCCCACCGAACGCATCTGCAAGGAAGGCAGGACTGAGAGCAGGGCCTCCCCAGAAGATCTTAACATCCTAGATGGTTCATAAGGTGAGATAAGTTCAGAAATAAATTCCTATAAATATCCTATATCATTTATACCCATTTTTTGTTTTTGTTTTGCTCGCTATTTATCCTTTGGATTCAGAGACAATATATTTTTCCTATCACCATATGATACCTCTGCAATTGGCAGATCATCTCCTCATGGAAGCATATACTGATATGAGTACAATTATCAGATCTGGAGAAGGGTGCGGGAGAGAAACAGAAAGAAGATTGAAAAAGAGGAAAAGGAGGAGGAATAAAGGTAGTCGATCTAATATTTTTTCATCAAGGGATATCTGTTCCCAGACGTATATTGCCAATGGCACTTTCTTAGGACAACAAAGGAGAAGAAATGCATTCCCCTTTGAAGAGTGACAACATCCTTTTGAACTATTGTCATGCTGTAAACACGATCTAAACAAGCTCAGTTGCATCACCGAAGCTGTGCTTTCTTGTCCCTGAATGTTGTCTCCTTCCCACAAAATTGATTTCTTATGCTTGCTATCTCCTTTCCTTGAATCCTCCTTCCATGCTGAGTTGTGGAACGTGCCCTGTAATCATGATCAGCCTGACTGTGAATGTCTCACCAGAAAAGATATGTCGTTTAATGAAACTGCCCAAGCCACAGCAGAAGCCTGTGTTGTGAACTCACTAAAACTATCTCTATACATTACACAGAGAGCTGTTTCCCCTTTAAAAATATTACCTAAGCGTGTGATCTTATGCAAACCTCATTAAATATAGTGAGGCTTACTTCTGAGCGGAGACATACATTCCAACATTTCTCAAATGGAAACTGGGACACATATTTATTTATTATTTATTTCGAGGTTTTATATACCGACCCTCTCACCTTCAAAGAGGGATTCGGACCGGTTCACAACATGGTAACATCAGAATGTGGTTATGATGGGTGTCCCACCAATTATAAAGGATCTTTAGAGGTATGGGTGATAAATCAATATCCCACCTCTGACACTACCAATTATAATAACTCAAAAGAGGCTTTTGTAGGGTTTGAGGGGATGTCACGTTGTGTAAAACTTTCGCTGCCACCAAACTAAAGAAATCACGAACCCTCTAGCTATTAGTCTGTTAATAGGCTGTTTAGTATCACCACAAGGCTTTTTTACTCCACCATTAAAAATACTGTTGTATTAACAAGGGCTTTCTCTGAGGGGAAAACAGGAGAGGTTGATTTAAAAAGAAAGGGACTCAAAACCAAAAATAGCACTTGACTCAGGCTTTAAGTTTAAAAAATAATAAGAAAGAGTTTATTGATTACAATTACTGAATAACACGAGAATGCAGGTACTGAGGCTTGATGGTTACAGAATAAAAGTGTTCTTGTTTCTTATAAGCGTATTGGTTTCTAGAGAGAATGTTCTTTCTTAGTTACAGTTTCAATAAACACAGAACCCAGCTATTTTTCCTCAAAAGTAGCTGTAATCTCAGTCTGTCACAGCCTACTGTGCTGTACAGACTAAAGGCAAACTGCCTGTTTTAAACAGAGACTCCTCAACAATCCAACTTCTACACTAATCTCTCTCTCAGAACTCAAACTGCTCTCTACTCTTCTCAGAACTCAGCTGAACTAACTCTAAAACTGTCAAATCTCACTGTTCTCTTTCCCTCCTTCTGCCTAACTCCGCCCCTATTCTCTAAACCAATCCTAGCTGTTGCTGGGCTGGCACAGGCCTCAGCCACTCCCCCTTCTGCCCTGGAGCTTTTCCCTACTCTAAAATGGCTCCAGCAGCACTCTGCCAGGCCTTCCAAGCTAAACTACCTAGCCTGACTTTCTCCTGGGGCCCTGCCACCCTGGATGGCAAGGTAAGGGATCTTTACAATGGGCAAACATATTTATAAGGAAGCTAGCCATGTATACAGCGATTTGCTTTTTCTTGAGCCTATTGGCAAGTCATAGAATCATCTAATAATAGAGTTGGAAGAGATTACATGGACCATCTAGTTCAACCCCTGTCATGCAGGAAAAGCACAAAGTATCCCTGACAGATGGCCATCCAACCTCTGTTTAAAAGCTTCCAAGGAAGGAGCTTTCACCACACTCAAGCAGAGAGTTCCACTGTTGAACAGCTCTATGGTCAGGAAGTTCTTCCTAATGTTCATGTGCAATCTCCTTTCCTGTAATTTGAACCCATTGCTCCAAGTCCTAGTTTTCTGGGCAGCAGAAAATTTATTTATTTATTTATTTACAGCATTTATATTCCACTCTTCTCACCCTGCAGGGGACTCAGGGCGGATTACAATGTACACATATATGTCAAACATTCAATGCCAATTATACATACAACGTATATAGACATACACAGACGTTATTTAACTTTTTCTGGCCACCAGGGGAGCTGTCGCTTTCATTGTCCATCTGCGACACTGATGAAGTACTTCCGCATTCCCTGCATGCTTTGCTGGAGTGCTTTTTGCTGGAGTCTTTTTATGGCCTCATAAATTAGTTAATTAGCCTCCCCACACATAGGTGGTACCTAATTTTCCTACTTGACAGATGCAACCAACAGGATCACTTTTCTGGAGACCTACACACTACACTGCACAAAAGGGGCCCTGTCATT